GCGCGCCTGGGCAGGGGTGAGGCTGAGGGCGCGCGGACCTCCTCGCAGCTGCCGCAGCTGCCGGCCCGCGGCGACTCCCGGAGGAGAAGGAGGGAGGGAAGGAGAGTGGGAGGAAGGGGCGGGCGGCGGGATGGAGGGCACTGGAGCCTGCCCGTGCTCCGCTCACACCAACTCCCGAAGGTGCTGCTTCCAACTTTTACCTTCTTGGAAGCACGGAGCGGCAGTGTCAGGAGACTTGACATTGCAGGGCTGAGCCGAGCTAGTGACGTCCACAACCCTTTTCTTACCGGTTCTCAGCTTTGTTATTTGTATTCATCTCTAGAACATGGACTTCGCCCGCCTGTGGCTAGGGTTGCTGCTGCCTTCGGTAGCTGCGCTGGATTTCGGCTACCACCACCAGGAAGAGATGGAAGCGTTTTTGAAGAATGTGGCCCAAAACTACAGTTCTATCACTCGCTTACACAGTATTGGGAAGTCTGTGAAAGGTAGGATCCATCTCGTGCACTTTCCCAAACCCCCAGCCCTCGCCTTCGTTCATTAAATATACCTTAGCTTCCTGTCCCCTTTCCTTGGAGCTGCTTGGAGGAGCTCCAAGCGGGTAAGCCGGTGCCTTGCGTGTTGGTGGTTTTCTGCTTTTGTGTGTTGTGTTGTTTTATTTTGTCAGGGAAGTAGTAGGAAGACCTGAATTTTAGTAATCGTCTCTGCTGTCATTCAGTGTCATTGAGTCCTATGCGTTAATGGCATTCTTTTTCCATCTTGCACTGGTTGCTTGAGGTGTGTCTTTTAGTTTTTCTTGGTAGGTAAACTTATGTCGAGAAAGTCTCCGTTTATCCATAGCAGCTTTCCCTTTTTGTTGGCTTCTTTAAATGATTTGGACTGTTAGTGTCTTTTTTTTAAGTCTCCTTTAAGCTAAAATAGTTCAGTTCTGTTGGTGAGATTTCTGTTGTGTATAATTAGCCCTGTGACATAAAGTGATGCAAAACTATCGTTTCTATAAGTTTTAGTGTTAAATAGCACAGTTGGTAAGATTTGTGTCCTGTGTAATTAGCCCTATGGCTTTAAGTTATGCCAAAAAGTGGCTCTGATACTGATTAAAGGCTCTTTTAAAATCATCTGTTTGAATAAGACAATTGCTAGATAATAAATATATGTTAGCAATGACTGGGACTAGCATTTTCACATTTATCATTTGCTTTAATTTAGAAATTATATATTAAAAAAATAGCTGTATATTGTCTAATTTTTATAGACAGGGAATTTGAATCCGATATTAAGTATTTTGCTCAAGATCACCAGATGGTGGATTTTATAATCAGGATTGGCATTCAGGTCCTTCTACTTAAAGGCGTAGATATTTTGGGGACAAGGCGAATACTTTATCAAACATTGTTATTTCTTAATCTTTTTATATTGGTGCTCCCGAACGGATTACCTGAAAACTTAATGCTTAAATCAGAAGTTTTGTTAAGTTTATGCAGTTTGGATCTCCTCTCTTTATAAGGTGTGTTCACACTCCACGTAGATTTTAGCTCTGAGCTTTTGAACCAAGGAGTGTCTCTTAATTACCATATTCTCAATCATTTTCAAGAAAAAAAATTAAAGTCATGGTTTTTTTTTTTTTTTTTTTTTAAAGTCATGGTTTTCATATTAAAGAAGACCTACTATACAAATTTACTTACATGTAATGCACAATAAAAAATGCTGGGTCATGTGTTTAATGGTATCTTTGTTTTCAAAAACATTGCCAAAGAGTTGGTGCCAGAATTACTCTATATTGCTCTATAATCCGAATTAGAGGTTGGATGTGTGAGAAATCACATCTTGAATCAGCATATGTGTTCAGCCTTTTGAAATCATTTCCCCCTAGAGTTCAAGAGAAGAGCAATTTTAAAAGATCTTTAGTAAAGCAAATATCTTGAGTTATTGTTCAGTCATTTAAACCACAAGATGATGAGGGTGTTGTTAATTTTAAGTACTAAATGATTTGGCAAGCTTTTATGTTTTCAAACACAAAGTGCTTGTGAAAGAAAATTGGGGAATCTCTTAATGTGAACCAGCTACTCTGATCCATCTTTCATGATATCAGACCACAGTAACATTGAAAGCCAATAGGCTTTTTTTTCCCCCACTTTGTATGCACTCTTGTGGTTAAAGGACTGAGAAGTTATCATGTAAAAATCTGACACTCGTCGTCAGATGTTTGTGTTGAATATATTCTGAATAATTACTCTGATTAGGAAAAAGGTTCCAAGTGGTGGGTTAAACTGTACACTGTATCACTGCATGTTATCATGACCATTGAAAACCAGTGCTCGTTTGTTGGTGCTCTTTTCACTAGATAGGCAGTTTTCCCTGGCTGTCCCACCCTCTGGTGTAGGATACGTTTGCTTAGCAAACAGCCTTTCCCATATTTGTTATTTTTTTTATTATGAACCTGGGCAATCTACCTAGAAGAGGAAGTAATATTCCTACCCAGTCAAGTACATTTTTAGTTTTTGTAAATGCACATCACGTGGATTTTTGTTATTGTAATCATGGATCCTATTCTGCCTTTTTCCTCTATTCACATTATTTCATTACATATTTCTATGAATTGACAAAGTCTGCAGATATAAATTGGTTGCTATGTAGTATTTTATCCTCTTGGTTATGGGAATTGTCTTAGTCATTCACCATTTGGGGGCATCTATATGGTTCTGATGATCTATTATAAACAATGATGCTTTAAAAGCATTGATACATGTCATGATGATTACCTTCCGTTGTAACTGGTGATTTTTCTTTTCAGTTTTTTTATTTTGAAATGCTTGAAATCCACACAAAAGTTGAGCCCACATTTACCCTTCACCCAGATTCAGCCATAGTAGACTGACCATATTTCATTTGGAGCTTTTGGGGAAACCCCATTACATAATGACCTAGTAAAAGGTGAAACAAGAGCAGCAACTCAAATTGACAACTGAATTGAGAAAAATTAGAAAAGGTACAATATTCATTGGTTTATTCATTCGTCCATTTAAGCGAATATACCCCCCTTTTTTTTTCCACTCGTAACCCCCTCTGTCTAGTATGATGCTGGCACATACTCAGTAATTTATATTTTGTTAATGAATTGAATGTTTGCTGAGTGAAAGCCATGTGAAGCAAGCAAAGTTGTGTGCCATTCGTTGCCTGCCCTTAAGTAGCCCCCTTTAAAGGACGAATATATTTATTGTGGATTTCCCCGAGCCTCTCCACATCCCCCAAAATTAGTTCTAGGACTTTTTTTTTTTTTGGCTTTTTAAGTTTTAATTCCAGTTAACATACAGTGTTATATTAGTTTCACATGTACAATATAGTGAATCATCACTTTCATACATCACCCAGTGCTCTGTACAAGTGTACTCCTTAATCCCCATCAATCCATTTCACCCATCCTGCACTTCCCTCCCTTCCCCTCTGGTAACTATCAGTTTGTTTTCTATAATTGAGTCTGTTTCTTTATTTTGTCTCTCTTTTTCCTTTGTTCATTGTTTTGTTTCTTAAATTCCACATATGAGTGAAATGGGTATTTGTCTCCAACTGACATTTTGCTTACTATTATACTCTAGCTCCACCCATGTCCTTGTAAGTGGCACGATTTCGTTATTTTTTATGGCTGAATAATCTATTGTATGTGTTTGTGTGTGTGTGTGTTCACATCGTTATCCAGTCATCAATCAGTGGACACTTGGCTGCTTCCATATCTTGGCTATTGTGAATCATGCTGCTATAAACATAGGGGTACATGTATACCTTTGAATTAGTGTTTTTGTATTCTTTGGATAAATACCCAATGGGCAATTACTGGATGGTAGGGTAGTTCTATTTTTAACTTTTTTGTGGACCCTCCATACTGTTTTCCAGAGTGACTGTACCAGTCTGCCTTCCCAACAGTGAATGAGTATTCCTTTTCCTAGTTTTAGGACCATTTAAAATGAGATTTTTCTACCATCTCCATTTTAAGAATCTTCCCTTCTGCTTAGTCTAACCTTTACTTTATCTGAATAAAAAAGGTTGCAAAGGACAAGGAGTAGATCATAAAAATCTGTTATCAAGTGCTTCCATATTATATGTTTTAATACATTATTTCAATCTCTGACTCTGAGTAGGTATTGTTATCCTTGTTTACAAAACCGGTCAATGCAGCACAGGGGAAGTTAATTAACTGCTGAAGATCACACAAGTCAGTAAGTGTTAGAGGATTCAAATGCAGATCAATGTATCTCCCAAGCCCATCTCTTTGCCCCTTAAAGAGGCAGTTTGACACGGATGTAGATGGTTACGTGGAGATTGGGTTTTCTAGAGTCATGGTTTGGGCACATGTGATTTGAAAGTATAGCTTCTGCCAAGGATCTATGGCTGTGTTGTTCATTACAGTAGTCATTAGTCACCTGGTTATTGAGCAGTTGGAATGTGACTAGACAGAATTGAGATGTGCTAAGTGATTTTGTAGACTTAATACAAAAAAAGTAAAATAATGTTTTTATGTTGATCACCTGTTGAAATAATTTAGAACTATAGGTTAAAAATATTTTTAAAATTTCACCTGCTTTTTACTTCTGTTAATGTGGTTATGGTTACTAGAATATTTTAAATTATATGACTCGTGTTATATGTTGATTGAGCCATGCTGACCTAGAGAGAAATTTGTTAGTAACTTTTTTCTGAGTACAAAAGGAAGCTAAGTTCATTTAGAAAATTTGGAAGGTACAGCAAAGCACCGAGAAGAAAATTAAAATCTCACCATACAAAGAAAACATTTAGTAGACTAAAATCACTATGTGTACTGTTCTGTGCCTTTCTCCCTCACACTAAGCTAATTATCTTGTTTGTGCATGCAAACATGTTATTTCTAAAAGTTGATTTTAATGCTCTGCTTTGTGTCCAATCAGTGGATATCCTAGTGTTTATTTAACTTCTACCCCACTGATGGACATTTAGTTTGTTTCTAAACTTTTCCTGTTACAAATAGTGCCACAGTAGACCTCTTCAAAGCTAAGACGGCAGAAGAACACAGACTTTGGAACCACAGGGCCCAGGTGCAAATTCTAGATCCTCTACTCTGTAGCAATGTGACCTGGAGTTGTTGGATAATTCCTGGCACATAGAAAGTGCTACATAAAAGCTGCTGCTAGGGATATTGTAGATGCTGTTAGGGAGAAGTTTTCCAAAAAGGAAATTACCAGGTCCTAAGCAGTTTTATGTATTTGATACATGTAACCAAATTGCTTTCCCAAAAAGATTGTATTGATTTTTATAATCTCACGAGACATGTATGCTAAGAAAAAAACAACTTCTCTAAATCTTCTGTTAGTCATAAATCAGTACTGGCATTAGTGATTTGGAAGATTATTGTAGATTGGTCGAAGAGTACAAAGTTTCGGTCATACAAGATGACTCTGTCTTAGAGATCTGCTTTTTACTGCATAGTGCCTACAGTTAAACAATACTGTATTGTATGCTT